TTATTATTATTATTATTATTATTATTATTATTATTATTATTATTATTATTATTTTGATTCTAGTTTGAAGTAAAACCCAACTGATATTCTCTAATGCAGTGTAGAATATAAAACCTGGCTCCCAAATGTGCCCCAATGGTCTCTTACTAGGCTTTCTATATTGTTGTGTTTTGATTTTTCAAAAACCTCGTTAGGTTTTTAAAATTTGAGATAAACTGCTTTGGACACCTAGGAAAGTGATGGTTAAAAAAAAAAACAGGAGTGGATGACTTTGGTCTTTATAATAACATGTTATTCTCTTTTCAGGGTAGGCAAAATTATGCAAAGCACAGAAGAAGACTAAGATGTGGAAATAAATAGTAAACAAAATAAAATGGAGGCAAACAATAGGAGACGTGGAAAAGAAATGGGTTTATAAAATAAAATATTACTTTGGAAAATTATTGTTCCAATTCCTCCCTTTCACAAACAGGCCCATCATTAAGTATGCTCTGTTTTAGTACATGCACATCCGGCCATGTGTACAAATGAACTTTATATGAGTATTTAGCGACCAAAGTAAAATCTTGAAGCTTGTCACTGTAGGATGCATACATATAACAATTTTCAATGACTTGGATCACATACAATAATGTGCTTGTTTTAAACTGGCTTAGTATATTGTATGAACCCAGTTGCAATGCTTTTCAAGTCTTTGCTTATGGCTTAGCATCATGTGAATCCAGCCATATGTTTTAGTAAACCACAGTAAAACCATGGCTTATTGCCACATACCATGCATTCTTTTTGAAGATATCTGTTCAGGTATGGTTATCTGCCTGACATTTTCTGAAGTGGGATCAGCAGCAAATATTTTGTTCTCTGCACATTCCTATTCCCTCTCTAATACGCCCCCTATTTCCTTGCTTCTGATGCATTAAAACAACTCAATGTTGAGAGTTCATTCAACACAGTAGGTTAAAATGTGGTTGGCTAAATCAACTAGTTTGAGGTTTAATGTATCCTGAAAGAAGACTAACTGTAGTGTGATGGAAAAATAATAAAATAAAGCTGCAAACTCCGCCCCTGCCGTGGCAAACTCTACTTCCCCCCTTCCCCCTGCCTCTCTTTCTGCCCCCTCTCCCTCTTGCCTCTCCTGCAACAAACTCTTTCCCCCATTTCCCTGGGCCTTTACTTGCTCCCGCCCCACACTTGCGCATGTAAAACAGGACCAGTCCCAGGCTATTGCATATATAGCCCTCTTAACGCTATCATACTAAAACTATGACAGGGCCATCACTTGTGTGCTTAAGGATTTGTCGGGGGGGGGGCATTCTCAGTGAGGAAGCCTTTGTTGACCAGGTGAGAAACAGCAGAAACTCCATTCTTATTAAGCTGGAGTGTCTGCTTTTCTTCACCTTCCATTCTCCTTGACAATGGATTTCTTGACTTGGCTGCCTTGTTACAAAAGCGTGTTTTTTGTTTCACCATAGAAAAATACCTGTCCCCTGTTTAACACCTATCCAAAACTTGCCCCCAAATCAGATCCCAAGGATTTCCTGCCTTTCAACTGCAAAGTGTATAAGGATCTCCACCTTTCTATTGTTCGGGGTCCCTCTTTCTTGGAAAGCAGGTGCCCAATGATCATTGCAATAAACATGGTTCTTCTACTCAGTGTTGTGCTCCTTTCTTTGGCAAAAAGATTCCACAACAGTAGTTGTGATACCCCTGGCGGATGTCAAACTGGAAAGGCCTGGCTTTTCCATCTATCTCTTTCACAAGTTTTGAAAAAATAATGCTTCTATAGACCAGAGATAGGCAACCTTGATGGACTATAGAAAACAGAGTGATGATGCAAAGTAGGTGGAGTTACATGCCCCCCTATAGGCATGCAGATGACTAAAGCAGAGTTGCTGGATCCTGCCAAGGCCCCTCTTAGTCCACCATTTTTTTCTTTAGGATGCCAACGAGATGTGTCTGATCTACTCACAAGCAGTTCTTCCCCTGGAAAAGGTATTTGGCAGCATGCCGCTCCCAACCCCCGGGTAACAATTAGCCACCAAGAAGAACAGCCCTCGGCAGGCACATCCTCTATGAATGTATCTAATCCCTTTTAAAGCCTTTAAGGTTAATGCTCATCACCATGGCTTGCAGTAATTAATTCACAGGCTAAATTAAATAGTGTGAAGAAACACTGCTTTTGGTCTGCTCTAACTTTCTTTACAGTTTCACAGGATAACCCCTGATCATAGTGTTTTGAAAGAGAGAGTTCTCTCTGTCCCCTTTCTCCATACTATGCGTACCGTTATCCCCCTTGATCATGTTTTCCTCAGCTGCTTTCTTCTCCAAGTTGAAGAGTTCTAACCTCTCTTTATAATGAAAAGATTCAAACCTCCTGATCGTTTTGGTTGCCCTCTTCTGCACGTTTTCCAGCTCAGGATATTCTTTTCGAAAGGTAGTAACAAGAACTGTATACAGAACTCTTGATGTAGTCTTACCATAGATTTATACAAGAGCATTACTAGGTGTGCAGTTTATTTTCAGTCCCTTTTCTAATGAGCACGGAATCGGCTTTTTTCACAGCCACTGTGCACTGAGGCCACATCCTAATTAAGTTGTACACTATGACCCCTCTCCCTGAAGGTGTTTTGTCTGATTAGTTATTGGGAGCTCACAGTTAATTAGTGTATATGTGAAGTTAGGAGTTTTTTGCACCAATGCACTTATGCATTATTCCCACATCTTCCAGATTTAAGGGGGGAAAGTGTTGTGGAATGTAAGCACCTCCCAGGAAAGCCCTGCCTGCAAGCAGCCTCAGGACACATTGCAGACCTCCTCTGATGGCCTCAGTGGCCAACCACAATGGCAAATCTGACAGGTATCCTGAACGGATATTTCACAACCAAAACCTTGAACATAAACAGTGACTAATTAGCATCCAGGGCGGTCACTTCAATAACAATGTAAGTAGTAGTGGCCAAATGCCCCTCGCAGCAACCTGGCTGCTACGGTCCGCACTGGCTGCAGCTTCCAGACCACGTGCTAGGGCAGCCCTGATAGAGTGTATTGCAGAAATCCAAATGTGAGGTCATCAGCATGTGAACCACTATACCTCTGCTACCTCTGCCCAGGAAACAGTGCAGTTGGTATATCAAGCAAAGCTTGAAATGTGGACTTCTAACTATAGAGGCCACTTGTGCAGACTGTAGGAGCATCCCCAAACACATGCTGTATTTATCATTGCTGAGGGAATGCAATCCTGCTTAGTACAGGTACACCCCAATTTCCATACTTGGGAGCTATCCAAAGTCTCAGTCTTGTCAGGATTAAGTCTTAGTTTATTGGTTCCCCTCTATTCTCCTACTTAATCCCAATACTGCTTCTGATTCACATGCTATGGAGAGATAGGGATGAGTGCCATCTGTGTACTGGTGATGCCCAGGCTCAAAGCCTCTGATGGCTAGCTCCCAGTGGTTGTATATAGGTAGTAAATACCACTGGGAATTTAAAATTCCTCACCAGAAAAGATGACATCACTCTGTCATGCAGATGCATTTACTATTTTCTAGATTCGCCCAGTCAACCCCCCTGACTATCCCCTTGCTTGTAGCAGCAAGTTGAGCAGGGATCATGAGAGCATCAGCAATCCAAAGAGCTACAAGTGTCTTCACCACTTTTGTGCCTCTTAAACTGAAACTGATTCTATACAGTTGGACCAGATATTGTATTGTATATATTATATAAGTTGTATCAAAAGCTGTTTGGCAAAAAAATCATAACTATTTTATCCTCAAAGTGCCTGACAGTCCCATCACAGCTGGTCTTTGAAGACTTCAACATTTATTTTTCTGGGGCTGATGACAATAAGCCTGTAAAGAGCTCTGTTGGATGAGGAAGCAATCACCTCCATGCAAGAGGTACAGATGTGTCTGGATGGCCTTCCCGAAGATCTTTCATTATTTGCTCTCTAGCTGTCTCCTAGCCTATTGAATGGAGATCCCCAGAGAACCAAGGACAAACCTCAAGCTCCACCGAGCCAGCAAGGTCAATCAGGTCAATGGTCCATTCAGTGGTTTCCCATTCCATACGTCAACAAATGCCTTTACAAGATCAGTGGTTTGGGCTTCTGGAAATACTTTTATGATGCTCTGCTACTTCTCTATTGTTTAGCAGTGGTTTAATTAAGTTTAAATCATAGTTGAAAGTTTTGATTCTGTTTCTTCACTCCCTTTCCTTTCTTCTCAGAAAGAAATTTAACAAATGTTATGACAAACATCCACCTCATAATGGCTAACACATGTCTTTCTAATTCAGACAAATTCCAACATTCTTATCCCTTCTGTCATTTCATAACTAGACTTTGTGGAACAAAT